ATGTTGATCATCTTCATATAAATCTCGGCAATATATTGTTCATGTCCCTGCTATATTTTCTCTGTTGGTTCTCAGTGTTCCTGTGAAATCTTTATCGGCCCAAATTCTGGCGTTACAGTCACTTCAGAAGTAGAGTATTTTTCTAAATAGATCTTCTGGCTGATTGTTTTGGTAGAGGCTCTTAATTTTTTACATATATAGTGATAATATCGTTTTTATCAGCCTTGCATCTTCGGTTTATTTCTTTGTTGAGGTTTCGTAAACTCGTTTTTCCCATTTAACTATGTACAACACTTTGACAAAGATTTCTTCTATCCAGTTTTTCTATTTTATATTATGATTTAGCTTTGGGCGATTAATTGGTTATGTTACACAATGTTTAATAGTCTCCCATATTTCTTGTGAAGTACCCTTACGAATAAAGGGCATGCTTTTTTGCTCTTCTTATTTTGTTAGGTGCTTTAAGTTTAAGCTTTACTTTAGCTACGGGAAGAGTATGATCTGATCTGCATATCGCTCCTGGATATTATCTAACTGTTTGGATTGATTGATTGATCCAGCAAATATTAGTGACGATATAATCAATTTGATTTCTAGACGTATCTCCAAGGCTTTTCCAATTATAAAGTCGGCGTACATGATACTTAAATCAAGTATTTATAATAGAACAGTTATTTGTGATCAAATTCAATTAAGTGGTCTCCTCTTCTTTTTGTCAACCATTTTTCATCCACTCCTGAATGTAGGTTTCTCTCAATTGCTTCCACCTTTCTCTATCTTGCGCCAATCTAATCCACTGTTTGCCTGTCACTGCTCTTATATCATCTACCCATCTTTTTTGAGGTCTTCCCTGTCGTCCTCAGTGTTTCTAATCTTGTCTCTTAATGATATTCCAAGCATGATTCGTTCCATTGCGCTTTGCGTTGTTTATAATTTTTTGGCAGATTTTTTGGTAAGGGCTACTGTTTCCAAGCCTACTTGGTAGGTACAAACTGGTAGTATGCATGTGTTAAAAGCTTTATACTGTGGACAATTAGTGATTGTGATGCATAAAGAAAATCTTGTGACCTAATCCTACAAAATGACAAAATCAAAGGTGTAGAAACATACAGATCTTTGGACCGTAATCATTCTCAAGATATTTCCATCGATTTGGAAAAGTTGAAAAGTTACAAATAAATACCAAAATCCGAATTGTAGCATTTGAAATGAAATTTCTCAGATGGGGTGAAAGTTGTACAAAACCTAACACATTACGCAACGATGAAATAAAAACGATCTTATTTCAAAAGTACAGGGTCCGGCACAAACAACGGACAATTTTTAAAACGTCACAAAATCAATTATTTTTGATGATGGATTGCTGAAGGTGTTCTTGAAATTTCGCGTAGACTCCTTCCAACACGGCTCTCTTAACTTGGAGTTATACGCGAATTGACTTCTCTAAATCGTTCAGAGTTAGGGGCTTATGCTTATATATACAAGCTTTAATATATCCTCATAAGATATGTCAATCGCAAATTGACACACTTAAGGACCGCAAAGATCAATAAATGTCACCAAACTTACGTTCACTAAAGAAAGCATAAATAACATTTATCGTTACTCTATACTGTTGGAACCCTCGTAATTCGGTCAAAAAGAAGTTGGTAATTATTTCGACATAGTACTCCGACGTCACGGTAACAACATTTCTATTACCGCCTTCGAAGAAGTCAGGACCGATGATGTAAGTTTGCGATACACCGTATTAAACCGTCACTTTTGAGGTGTGGCTGTCTTTCATGTAACTGTCGTGGATTTTCATTATTTCTATAACGACAATTTACTCACGAACAAAGTAATGTTCTAATTAAGCTCGATAATTGCTTCCATCTCATGTGCAAAGTTCATTTGTTGAGCGTAATTTTCAGGCTGTAACTGTTGTACAATTTGTAGGGGTACAAGTATATGCAAAATACGCCTTACACAAAGATTAATGAGGCGAAGTTTATCAGCTTGTTGTCGAGCAGATCTTGTTGGACTGCGGAGAAAAAAATCCACATTTTCAGGGGTCCGAGCGCGTTCATCGAGCTCCTGGTGGTCTTTTATTAATCAGTACACTAAGTCTGTGAAGTGCTTTAACCTAACGAAGGATGGTACTTCGAGAAAGAACAGCTCGATTCCGATAAATATTAAAGTGCTGATGAAACTCACGCTCTACAGCCGAGATAGACTCAGTCTAACAAAACTGTCGTAAGCGAAAACGCTCTGCTCAACCGTCCACGGCTCTATGTCGACTGGCAAAAGATGCTAAGAACTCACAATTCTAACGGCACTCTCCCCACCACTCTCGTCCGAATAGGTGCAAAGTACTAGCAATTTTAAAACCATTTTTTTTGTGCCAGACCCTGTATACAAATATGAAAATATAATAACAAAACGGGTGTGGCAGTCCAGTGGGGCTGCCGGTAGAACTTATACTTCTATATACGCGTTCGCCGTTACAAATTTATATGGGAGTCTATCTGCACAATCATTACATAAGTAATGCTATAGATAAGAGAGAGCAGAAAGAGAAACAGAATTAGGTATATAAGTATATGGTGCATCGTTTGCTGTATATTAACAACATTTGACCTGTAATAGAAGTATAGTAAATAGAGGATTGAATTAATATTTTCATGAACATGTATATCTTTATTTTTATATGTATGAAAGGAGTTGCATGCAAAAAAAAAAGGTTTGTACACATACTATGCAATAAAATTCTTTGTTGTATAATTCATGTAATAGTACAAAATAAATTAAAATGGAATATTGATAGGTATTTAAAAATGACAATTCACATAACTTACTTACGCATATGTTTAATTTACCATAATAATAATATTAATAAAATAAAAATATTGTTTCGTAATACAACTGTCAATTTGTCTGACATTGGTCGATACAAAATTTAATTGTAATTTGTTGTGTATATAAGTACACATTTGAAATTTCTTGAGATATTTACAAGTTCTAATTTATAATTTAACATGCCTAATGAGGCTCAAGACAAATTTGAACAGAATGAAAAAATATTAATAATATTAATAAATATTAAATATATTTACAAAAGGAACATTTTTATTCTCGAGAGATAATTAGAGAGAAAATATATCTTTTGTCTGTCTCTTACCTATATCTTACATACGTATAGATTTTGCCGATTCACTCCCATACAAATTTTTAATGTCGAACGAATGTATAGAATTATAACTTAAAAAAAATAAAATGAAATCAAAAGGTATAATAGAATAACACGATAACGCATACACAGAGTATTGTTTCATTAAAAACCCGAAAACTACGGTTTTTTAGTCAAAATCAGCAAAATAGGATTAAAAGTACAAATATTAACCTTTTTTTTTTAAGATGTCAGTTTAAAATTTTTCTGAGCTTTGCGGTTACTTCTTACTAGGGATGGCGGTTGTTGACAAAACACCTGTTTTCGGTTATACCCTTTTTTTCTTACGGTTTAACCTGGCAGTTATAACCGGCCAAAAAAAAAACCGATTTTTCCAAAAACCGGTTTTTGGTTTTTTTATTTCAATAGATTAGAAAGTTAAATTTACAATGCACTTTAGTTTGCGATACTACATTCGACTCGATATCAATATGATCAAAATTAGTACTATCGAAAGAACATTAATATCAATGTAAATACAACACAATTTTTTGTGTTTTTTGAGAAAAAAGTCCCCAACAAAAATTTCCCAGACTCTTTCAAATGGGATTTAAAGAAAATAATATCAACATAAATATTTTACTTAAAAATAAATTGGATAATGCAATTCATCTTTTATTTTTACTACCATCAAAAAAAATTATCATGTATTACTTTTAACTCATTTACGACTTCCGGTATGGGTACAAATCGTTTTGAAAACGTAGGGAAATCCTTGGAGATTCGTATTCGTAATCGGTAACTCGATATTCATAGTCATTATTTTTGGTAATCAGAAAAAGCCATTTACCCACTTTCAATGTCAAGAATCAAGTGTGAAAAATAGATGATGTATAAATACCAAATCAGCTCTTATGTAAGAATATTATGATTACAAATACTTTTTCAATAAAATACTATAATAAAATTTAATTGTTTCTGGCTGATGTGAGTGACTTTCAGTTTGCTTCTGTATTTATAAAATAAAATAAAAATTGAATTTTAGTTTTGTTTGGAATAATTACTTGAGAATAATAATTATGATTGCGTGGGATCTAAAATAATACCTAACCTAATCCTAATCACTGTAAAAACCTAATAACCGGTTTTTACTTTAAAAATAAAAAACCGGTTATAACCGGGACAAAAAAATAACCGACAAAACCGGTTATTTCGAAGTAAAAAAACCGGTTTTCGGTTAAAACCGGTAGGTTTTTCCCATCCCTACTTCTTACACCGTCTTAATAAATTCCACTGTTTTTTTACGGAAGCGAAACGATCCTTATACTGAAATAATACACGACTTCGCATCTTTAATAAAACCTACATTTAATTGACATAATTTTATTCTATTCAACTGACTTGTTTTTTGTCCATTTGAGTATTGGAAACAAATAGAAACAGCAAAATCTGATCCTCTAATTAAAAAATACAAAAATTGAGAATAACTTTCCGATGACATTATTTATTAAACTTTTAATATTGTTTCTTACCCTTTTTAGTTTTTCATATAAATATATTTTTAAAATGACTAATACAATAAATTTCTCAAACCTTGTTTTTTGATTTTGTTGGTAGTAGAGTCTCTAGTATAAAAAGAGTTTAAAATAATATCATAATATACTCTTGTTTTCTGCGATTTAAAATATAGTTGAAGAGCAAGGCATTTGTCAAAATGTACCCAATGCTTGCACTTCCACCAACCAGCAGCAGCAAACAGTTCAGTGAATACCACGGCGCATCATAACTTCCAGCCTCACCTCGCTCTCTATCAAAACCTAACTAATATATGTGATCTGCTTTTTCACAGAACTTCTTCAAAGACCCGTGGAACACGTTTGACTTCGTGACTGTTATCGGTAGCATAGTGGACGCTATGGTTGTCGAGTTTGGAGTAAGTATGACATAGATTCTTTAGAAATTACTAATATCGAGAAACATTTTACCACTATAACAACACATTTTACACAGATCTATCGCCGTCTCATCTGGAAGGTACAGAATATCAATTTAATTTTGATTGCAATCAGCACGATCTGTGCACTAACAGCATATTTGATATTAGCACTTTTTATGTCTATGTTGATAACTCTTTTATTAAATTGTTGTTTCATTCAAGGAACGAGCGGCTCAGATGCAGAAGGAAAGGGTAAGGATATTTCTGTGACCTATTTTTTAATAAGGTATATTTGTAGAATAGGTCTTTAAAATCTTTTCTCGACAATCGTGAATACTTCCTATTGTTGTTGTGTCTAGGTACATTTTTGTGGATAGGAAATGTAGGAGAGCTTTAGGAGAATTTTTTATTAAACTATGTATTTTTGAAAGAAATTTTTGCTTGAATAATTTAGTACAGTACTTTTCTTATTATATACTTATATACTTATCTTATATACTAAGAAATCTTTTCTTACCTTTAAACCAGTATCTGAAATTAATATTTTACATATTATTAATAATATTAAAAGTAAAGCTATTGGTGATGATGGTATTAACATATTAACGCTGCAACTCTGTATTCCCTTTCTTCTACCGTATATCACACATATCATTAACTTTTGCTTAACAAATTCAATTTTTCCTACTAAATGGAAACGGGCACATGTTATTCCTTTACCTAAGACTAAAATTACAGAAAGCATGAATGAATTAAGACCAGTAAGTGTACTGCCTACATTATCTAAAATTTTGAAAAAGGTGATTGATATTCAGTTACAAACGCATTTAAAAAATAACAACATAATCCCTATGATGCAGTCAGGTTTTAGGTCAAGATATAGCTGTCTTTCTGCTTTATTAAATATTACAGATGATATTTTTAGAGCCTATGGCCAAAACAAAATATCAATTTTAATTCTTCTAGATTACTCAAAAGCCTTTGATACAATTAACCATAACTTGTTATTCTCTACTCTAAAATATATTGGTCTAGATGCGAGAGCAGTTGATCTAATGAAATCCTATCTTTCTAATAGATGTCAAGCAGTAAAACTTAATCAAAATATTTCTTCATTTTTAGATCTTAATACTGGTGTACCTCAAGGATCTATATTAGGTCCAATTTTATTCTCTATATACACATCTAATTTTCCCTCTATGTTTTTGTCCTGTTCACAACATTATTACGCTGACGATACCCAACTCTATATGTCATTTTATCCAAATGAGTGTGATCAAGCGGTAAATGCAATAAATCATGACCTTCTGCATCTGCAGAGTTTTTCTCAAAATCATTGTTTAAAATTGAATACATCAAAAACTCAGCCTAGTGGTTTGGTTCGACAAAGATTTAAGGTTTACATATCATGTAAGTATTTGTTTACAAAGAGCTTACGCAGTTTTAAAATTACTGTATCAAAGCCGTAATTTATTAAGTAGGGCCACAAAGTCATTGTTATGTAATGCTCTGGTATTATCAAAATTAAATTATTGTGACGTGCTTTATAATGCGTGTCTCACTGAATTCGATTCATGGAGAATACAGAAATTGCAAAATTCTTGTTTGCGTTTGATATTTGGCATCAAGAAATTTCAAAGAATAAGTCATGTTTTCAACGTAGTCAAGTGGCTAAATATGAAAAATCGTCGGAAACTTCATGCATTATGTTTTTATCATAAAATCATTCAAGAGAGAGTTCCACCATATCTGTACAATCGAATAACTTATAGGACAGACATTCATAATCTTAATCTTAGACATAAGAATACCCTCACTTTACCTAAACATACAACATGCTTTTTTAAACGTTCATTTTCGTATTCAATTGCTTTCAATATTAACAGTTTGTCCTACAATATTAAAAATCTGTCTAGTGTCAAATTCAAGAGATTAATTTATGAACAGTTGTTAGCTAAACACTAATTTAAAAATTGAAGAATTTAAAAATTTAAGAAATAAAAAAAAGGAAATAGTTTAAAATTTATAATTTATAAATTGAATATGTTATATTTTTATGTTTAATTGTAAAATACAATAATTTCAATATTTAGATATAGTCTATCTATCCTATCTTCGGGGGGTTAGGTGGAAGAGCAGTTGTATGCCGCTGTTACACAGTGGTATACAAACTGAATCTAACCCTACTGTTATATTATATTTCATTGTAAAGAAAAAATTTAATTTACTTGTTAATAAAGACATTTATTATTATTATTATTATTATTATTACAGAAGTTTCTTAAAACAGCTCATATGCTGACAACGAAGAAAATAATACAAAATAACGCCACATTGGAGGATTTAAATACACCACCTGAAACTAAATTTTTGTTTGTACACCAAATTTGGTTGTACCTAAATTAATTATTATTCATTGTTTATTAATTTTGGTCCATATTCAAAATTAGGTTTATGTAGGATACACGAATCAATAATGGTTAATAATTAAACTACATTCATTTTACATATTCCCAATTGACAACAGAAGCACGTGAAAACCAAACAGGGTCGTACTGATGTATATCATATGATTTTTAAAAATGTTTACTTTTGAAACTATAAGTGTAAACATTTCTTGAAATTTATTCATTAAATCACAATTAAACTAAACTCTAAAAAATAACACTACCAGTAAATAACTTCTGTATCTGTATCTGCAGAGTAGGGAGGGCGAGTTAAGTTTCACAGCACTTAGGCCACGATTGACCCATTGTGCATCTTCTCAGGAAGCTGTCACCCTTAGCTCATTGTCCATCCTGCCATTTCTAGGAAGGTGGACAAGTCACCAGGAGACATTTCTCTTATGTGGGCAGGTGTGAACCAGAACTCGCCGAACGCGTACTTTCGTATTAACGATAACTCTGGGCATTCACATAGGACATGCTCTACAGTTTCGTCTTTTCGTTCACACTTCCTACATAGAGGTGTGTCTGCTAGCCCTAGTGTGTGGGTGTTTGCCTAGTTGACAATGACCAGTTAAAAAACCAACTGCCAATACTAGATTTTTCCTGGTCATTCCCAAGTACTTCTTTGATGTTGACTCTTCAAGGTTACTTAGTGTTACCCTGCAAGTTTACATCCTTTCCCTTCTTTCCATCTCTTTAAGATTCCGCGATTGTTGTATTTGACCAACCAAAAATATCCCCAGGTCCTAAGAGTCTTAGGCCTGCCACCTTCCTAGATAATTGGTCAGCAATGCGGTTACCTTTATTTCTATTGTGTCCTTTAACCCACCTCAGGATGATGGAATTACCATCCGAAGCTTGAGTTAGTGACTCGTGACACTCCATTACTAAACCTGATGTGACACGTGGTCTATTCAAGGTTAGTAGCGCTTGTCTGCTATCAGTGCAGATCATTATAGTTTTCCTATACCTTTTTGGGTTATCTCTTTTGCGACTATGGAGATACCAGTCAGTTCTGTCTAAACTACGCTGGCATTTTTGCCTATACCCCACTTTATTCTTAGGTTCAGTGATCTGTAGTATATCCCGCATCCTGAGCCTTCTTTCATTTTGGAGCTATCGGTGTATATGCAATAGGCATTTGCCACGTTTGTCTTCATACACTGTCTTGTTTCAATTTTGTAGGGTTTGTTAAAGACAAACTTTGGTTCAATTGAGGTAGTACTGGTAACGCATCCAGCTCTCCCCGCCAGAAACGAGTTCTCAATTGTCCCATTCCTACATCAAGGTTTGTACCAGCTGAACGTAGTCGCATCATTGTCACTAGAGCCACCTCTTTGACATATATATCTAGAGGCGTGATGCCAATGATCAACTCCATTGCAGCAGTTGGTGTTGTTTTCATGGCACCTGTTATATTTATGCAAGCCATCCGCTGAAAATGGTTCAGTTTATTAATCGCTGTTGCCTGCAGCACTTTTATGCTACACATAATTTTGCAACCATATCGGTCTATGCGAGGCCAGTCTCTAAAGTTCTTCTCAGTATACCGACATTATTCTAGAAACTACCTTAGAGATCCTAAAAGTCCCTATATCGGCTTTATTATCAACACAATAGTATGACGTCATATCGCCATTACATAGGCTCATCAAACATTGGGTCTGAATAAAAAATTAAACGCGGAAGGCCAATGAATGCCTCCTAAATTATTTCTTACTTAAGTAGTTAGCATATAAAGATGCCATCTACTTTTATGGCATAAACAAAAATAATTTAACAATATCGTTTTCTGTCCTTCACTCTATACGAAATGTGTAAAAGTTTACTTATCTTCTAACAAAATGCTTACTATCGCTTAGATATATAAAACCAGTATATGGCGATAAGCACAATTCATCAATATCTCGTGTTTGAATTAGTAGTCAATACAGTATTATATCATTTCTACCTCCCATGGCCTCATCAGACACTGGGGCCGAATACAAAATAATGGATCAAGAAAAGTCAACGGATGTCACCTAATTGTTTCCCACTCAAGTGATTTAAGCATATAAAAGCGCCATCTACTTTCTGTGACATCTACCATTTCTACACAAAGGACAAAAAACGATATTGATGTATGTAGATGGCACCTTTATATGCTAACCGCTTCAGTGGGAAACAATTAGGAGACATTCAGACTGTTTTAAATTTAACTTTTCACTCCTTACACGAAAAACTGGTCTCTAATTATTTTACATAACCTTGTCCTCTTAAGAATCAAAATCAAATTCTTTGATAGAAATTCCGAATTTCACTACCTGCTAACAAACAAACCATTTTATCTATTTAGGTTCTATTTTTTAGTAAGCAAAAAAAAACCGGCATTATCTTAGAGATTTTTCCGTTTATGTATTTCTGGCTTAATTCCAAATTCCTAATTGTAAATTTTCAGCTTATTTCACTATTCACAGAAATTGTTGTAACCTGAGCAAACTTTTTACCTAGGTATAGAAGTAATCTAGGCCCTACTGGTTTGGTCGAAGAGTTTGGGTGGGTTCTTTTAAA